ACATTTGGAAGTCAAGAGAAAGAAAAAGTTGTAAACATTTTGACAGCCTTGTTGTACAACATTATTCCTTACCTACGCAATCATTCGTAAGACCTTTGGTTTCATACAAGTATTGACATTTTATTGCAAATTGTTATTTTCACACTTTCTTTTACAGTCCAAGAAATGCAGCTAGCTTTTATGCATGTTCAGAGCTGTTGGCCAATCTCACAGCTTTTCAATATACTCGTAAGTCATGGCGCCGAGACGTGTTAGACCTGCTCTTGGAAGCCTCTCTTTTCCAAATGGAAGCAAGAGCATTGCCACATTGGCGATGCATCATTGATCATCTCATGTCACATGATACTACTACTTTTCGAGACCTCATGAGTATGTTAGACCTCAGTAACTTGCCATAAATCTACCCAATTTTTTTTCATCCTCCGTTACATGGTCTATCTGTTGTTCTTTTCTCAGGTCGTGTTTCGTTAGGCCAGGGAAATTCTCTAAGTCTCTTTTCAAGTCGAGAGCAAGAATATGAACAACGAGCGCATCTTCTGAAAAGATTAGCTTTTGTGATTTTGTGTGGTGAAATGGATCAGTATCAAAAGTACATGCCAGAGATTCAAGGTCTGTAGACAATCATGATGTTTACATACAACTACTGAAATTATTACCAAAGCCTCCAAAATATCATGGTTGTTGATTTGCAGAGAAACTTGCTGAAAGCCTTCGCCTGCCTCAAGTTGTGCCCGCTGTGCAGGCCAATGTTTTCCTCTGCTTCCGAGTTCTCTTGCTGCGCATGTCTCCTCACCACGTGACGTCGCTGTGGCCTGTCATTATTAGCGAAATGGTTCAAGTGTTCCTCCAAATGGAACAGGAGCTTAGTACTGAATCAGAAGAATTCAGGTATGTTTCAAAACAGTTGACCCATGATGGTGTTCTTGTCCTTTTCCCGTTTTTTTTGTTAGTGTTCTTATGTTGTTAGCTGATGCCATTTTAGAACAATCAGTTTGATTTTAGTGTTAACATGGTAATTCAGTAAATTTTTGGTAAATTTCAAAATATGTGGTAAGTCAATATGTTCTCTTAACTTCAATGATACTTTCAAATTTACCGAAGGGTCCACAACCTCGGATATTAATTAGTATTCAATACAAATCAGTTGATAATCACTAATATTCACAATTACATTTTCATTTGTATTGATTAAAATTATAATTATTTAATCCAAACTTAACTTTGTATTCATGATTATTCAGTTAAACATTCACAAATACAACTTTTGAATCTATTTATGAGTCATGAAATTTCCAAGTTCTGGACCTCTCAAAATTTACTTTCTGGGCAAAATCTTCCTTATTTATTATATCTATCAAACTGTGTGTGTAACCAATTGGCAAACTTGGGTCCCTTTTCTTCCCTCTTATTTCGTGATTGATTCCTCACTTTGTAAAAAGTAAAGACCCTATGAAGACTTTTTTTTAAACTTGATCACTCCTTCTGCTTTTTAAAATTTAATCTCTGGAAAATCAGTATTCATTGTTCTAATATTTGGGCTTTATCAGCTTAAGGATCTTAACATCTTAACATATTAACAAATGCATTTTGCCTTATATATTCAATCGCATGACTATGGTTTTACATTTGAATTTCAAGCGATGGCAAATCTTTCTAAATGTTCCTATCAGCACTTTTTACCAATTTAAACACATTCATAACTCAAAATCATTTCCATAGTGCTAAATACAATGAAAATTCATCTGTTAATATGTTAAGATCCTTAAGCTGATAAAGCCTTGACCATTGGGATTTGTGCTGCAAAACTGTTTCTGTTTTTATTGGTTCATGGCTTGGCCTGTTTATTTCATGTTTCATGTCTTGGATTTGTGTTGTTTTCTACTAACAAGCTGCTTTGTGTTTTTACTGCTGCTGATTCATGTCTCTCATGTCTGGTGTTTGGTATTCGGTGTCTCTGGAGACAGACAGTGCAATAGGTAAGGTTTTGGTGTATTCTTCTTAAAAAAAATCTCTCCCTGCATATGATTTTAATTATTTATGTTTTACCATTAGTAATTTTTTCTTGATATAATTCATCTTTTACGGGTATTATCTGTCCCCCCCCGGCTGAATCATGGGGCTCTGTTCTTCTACTACTGCGTGATGGTCTTCAACCAGGACTACCACCCCCAGCACAATTCTTGCTTCTCTCTGTTCTGA